GATAAGTTGAGAATTTGTGCCTGGAAGGCACTCAGTTACCAGGTTGTGGACTGTGGATGAGTACTCCGGTTATGGTGGTTGTCCTTGTGTGTTATGAGAAGAGGGAAATTTGTATGGACCTTCGAAAGGTTATTGGCTTAGTTTGATATGATCAGGATTGACTTGAGGTCGGTGGATGAATTTAAATGTGAATATGGGCTCTATGTCAGGCCAGTTGTGTTCATTTTAGTAAAGCGTTCCTTATGGAGGAGCAGTCGGGGTGTTATTTGTCAACAGCTATTTTGTGCAATGATATATATATTGCGCCGTATAAGTTGTGAGACAGCTTGAAAAATTTCTTACGCGTTGAGATTCCGCGTAGTGATGATGTATATGAGCAGGATGGCTCTTGAGATTCAGATTGTGTATCGCACCTCAGTTGTGCTTGAGTTTTGTAGCTTATGGCGCTATATGTTCCCTCAGGGATGTTATTATGCATCTAGCATGTTTATGACCGATATTCGGCATTTTGTTGTAATGAGCAAATTTGGCTCAATGTGCATCTCCTTATGTGAGATCTATGTGTTGATCGGGTGGCACGCCGCCATGGTTATGTTGTGTGGATCGGGTGGCACGCCGCCATGGTTATGATTGCTCGGAACGGGTTGCGCGCCGCAACAGTGTGGAGCTGAGTACAGATCCCCGTATCTATTTTTATGTGTTTTGTTTCCTATTTTATGAGGAAAGCTTATATTAGTTGTGTGCCCGCGTCGCATGTATGATTCGCGAGCGGGGTGTTTGTTAACTAAGTCCACCGCGTTGCATGTATGATTCCCTAGCGGTGTACTTGAGTTTCCTTCTCAAAGTTTGCTTTCCTTATGTCGCATTCGTTATGGTAGCCTATTGGCACATTGTAGCATCATATGGGACTTTCGGTCATGTCGGGGTAGCTTATTGCCTGAGCAGTTCGTACTGGGCGAGACGAGATCATTGGATTTAGGATCAGCGCAATCTGACTATATGAAGTACATTAAAGAGCTAAGACCATTATTTGGTTCAGAATGAGGTTATGGTTATTGTCGGGAGTATAGACCCAAATGATTGGTTGATTCGGCAGTTGATCATGAATTTCTGCACATCTCTTCTGTTGTGGCGGTATTATAAGAGTTAGAGTAAGACCTGTGTATGTCATGGGGTGCAATGGGAGCATCAGATTCGGAGAATTTTGACTAAGTTGATCAGAAAATGTATTATGGTTCGGTGAGTAATGATGCAAGGTGTGAATTCAGCAAAGTTATGCAGTCATGTTTGGGTACAGCGTGTAGTGATCGATACGGTATTTGTATGTTGGAAACAGGCCTGACAGAGAATTCCGGATGTTGGAATTAGGCTCTAAGGCCTATTTTTTGCTTGAATAACAGGGAGTATCTTCAGAATTGATCGAGCTGGTGTGCTCAACTGAGTGGTGGTAGCACGGGAAGGTTCATGAGAAGTTAACTGGTGATTTCAGACTACTTCAGTGTAGTTCTCAGCACGTTCGAGGACGAACGTATGATTAAGTGGGAGAGAATATAGCGACCCGACCGGTCGTTTTGAGCTCTAGCACTCCGTTCAGCAGCCTGAGGCCGTGAGCAGCTTCATTTCAGGCATTATGACTTGTACGCGCTGTCGGAATGAAGTTTCGGGAAGTTCAGAGTTGATTTGGAAAGAGAATTTTCATTTCGGAAGCTTAAAGTTGAAAGAATGAACTAGGATTGGATTTTTGAGTAAACGACCTCGGAATCAGGATCTGAAGGGTTCCAGCAGGTTCGTATGATGATTTCGGACTTGGGCGTGTGCCCGGTTCGGGGTTCGGATAACCCGGGAGCATTTTGGCGCCTATTGTGGAAGTTAGCATTCTAGAAGAAATTTCATAAGTTTGGCTCGAAGTGTATTTTAGTGTTATCGATGTCCGTTTGGGATTCCGAGACTGTGAATAGCTCCGTATGGTGATTCGGGAGTTGGGGGCGCGATCGGAAGTGAATTCGGAGGTCCGTGGGTCATTTTGGAACCATTTGGCTAAAGATAGAAATTTGAAGGTTTTTGAGAAGTTTGACCGGAGGTGGACTTTTTGATATCGGGGGTCAGAATCCAATTCTGAAAGTTGGAGTAGGTCCGTAATGTCGAATATGACTTGTACGCAAAATTTGAGGTCAATCGGACGTGATTTGATAGGTTTAAACATCGGAAATAGAAGTTTGAATTTTTGAAGTTCATTGAGTTTGGATTGGAGGTCGATTCATGATTTTAGCGTTGTTTGATGTGATTTGAGGCCTCGAGCAAGTCCGTAATGTGTTTTAGGATTGGTTGGTATGTTTGGTTGGGGTCCCGGGGGCCTCGGGTGGATTCCGGATGGTTAACGGATCAAATTTGGAAGCTGAAGAATAGCTGAAGGTATGCTGCTTCTGTCATAACCGCATCTGCGGTTCTAGAACCGCATATGCGGTCAGTCCATCGCAGGTGCGGCCAAAGGCCAGTCCAAGGGAAACCGCAGAAGCGGACCAGTTTCCGCTGAAGCAGTTCCGCAGAAGCGAGACCCAGACCGCAGAAGCGATCCAGGCATTTTGGGCCAGGTTCGCAGAAGCGATCCTAATTCTGCAGAAGCGGTCTTCGCAGAAGCGGTCAGTGCACCGCAGAAGCGGAAACAGCTGAGGCAGTGAGGTCTTTTAAAATTCGGGGTTGGGTTCATTTCAACCCCATTTTCATCCATTGGAGGCGATGGGGAGCAGCTTTGAGGTGCCATTTTCGTCACTCATCATGAGGTAAGTAATTTATGCTAGCTTTGAGTTAAATACCAAGTTTATACATGGATTTAGGCAAGNAGGAATTGCTATAAATGAGTTTGTAATGAATATTTGAGCATAAATTAATGGATTTGTGTAACCATTGGCTAGTTTTGGAGCATGGTGCATCAACTGGAGTCCTCGGAAGGGCGTGGATTGCCGGTTATGGATCTTCGGAGCGAGGTGAGTCTCCTTTCTAACCTTGTAAGAGGGAATTGTCCCCATAGGTGAAATAATTGACTATGTGCTCCTATTTTCGGGGGCTCCGTACGCACGAGGTGACGAGAGTCCGTGCGTAGCTGCTATTATGCTATTGTCCGGGTAGTTAGGGCCCAAAAGCATATTATACTTGGATTATTTATGAACCCATTAATAGTTTGAATTGCTTGAATCACCTTGGATTAGTAAATGAATTTAAAAGGAGATTAAACACCATTTTTCCTGAATTGTTAAAAAGAGAAATTGCTTTTATTTGGGGAAATATTCCCGATAAGTTCTTAATTGACTGGTTGAGCATGTATCTCTATGTGTTTACCTGCGTCGCATGCATGATTCGCGAGCAGGGTGTGTGTTTATTTATTGAAAGGGCCGAACGCCTCGACAGATTAAATAGGTGCATCTATGGTTCGCGCCGTTCGACCCTCGGCAGTGCACAATTTACCTTTCCGTTGGAGCGGGCCGTCGACCTCGGCGTGATTTGCACATGATATATATATTGTTGCCTGAGAATTTTAAATGCTGATAATGCCTTTCATGGCTTGATATAAATTTATAAGATAATGAAAAGTAAATCTTAAAAATCCTCTATTATTTGTTAAAGGTGTTTACCGTTTTTTTTTTGGCTTCGTGAATTAGAACTGCTATATAAATCCATGATTTCCTCACATTTTTAGTATATTGTCAATTGACCTCTAGTAAGTGTCTAAGTTGACCATCTCGTCTCTACTTCTTCGAGATTAGGCGGGATACTCGTTGAGTACACGTTGTTTACGTACTCATACTACACTTCTGTGAATTTTTGTTGCACAGGTATATTTGTTCTAGCAGCCCACTAGGCGTAGCAGCGCGGATGATTTGGGGCTAGGCGAATTGCACTATTCGAGGCGGCCCGCAGCTAGTATAGCCCTCTTCAGTACATTGTATTTATTTCTTGTCCATTGTATTCCGGACGGATGTGTATTTTACTTCCTTATCAGTAGATGCTCATGCACTTGTGACACCGGGTTCTGGGATAGTTTGAAGTATTGTATTAACTGCTTATCATTTAAATTTGATTTGAGACTATATTCTTTAATATTGCTAAACTTGAAGGAAAATCATAGATTTCAGAAGTATTGAAACGAGAATTTGATTAAGTAACTTGGTTGGCTTGCCTGACAGCAGTGTCCGGCGCCATCACGACCCTTAGTGGATTTTGGGTCGTGACAAATCAGATAAGAGAACAACAGAGGGAACGGATAGAGATCAGTCCCTCCGGTCACAATACAAGTCAACTCTACTAGTTGTTAAAGCTGTCGCACTATACACGCAACAGTACAACAACACTGTTGAAGCACGTTGTGTACCGGACACTCCCTTGCATCGTCTTTGATGACCTCACTCATATATTATCAATATGAGGCAAGGGTTTCAACACACACTTGCAAAACATAAATATTGATTACTCTCAAGTGTGCAGAGCCGCCTTCACTCTCTATGAGGCATTGAAGAACAAAACGCCAACAGAACAAATGACCAGATTCCAACATTAATTATATCGTGTGTCCTTTAGTATTATTGTGTCTTTGTTCATGTTATTCACTTGTAATTCCAACTCAGCTTTTCAGAAGCATTTTGTAGGACATCTTTTAAACCATAATCTGTGTAGTTGTTTTGACTATAGTTAGTCAAGAGGTTAGCTTTGTAATAGAGTTATTACAAAGGGGCTTACAATATAGTTATTTTTAGTAGGTGAGGGATTAAGAGTTTAATTCCTAGATTACAATAGGTTGTAATCTAAAGGTTGCTCAATTAGTGAAGTTGAAATCCTACCAGTGTAGGTCGTGGTTTTTAATTCCGTGAGTTGAGAGTTTTCCACGTAAATATTGTTGTGTTATTTACTTACTACTTTGTTCTCTATGAAAACTGATAAAGAACCAGGTACTCTATAGAGTTTGGTGTACCCTTAGTTTACATCAATAACATATTCTATAACCGGAATGAACAGAAACAATGAACATTCGCTGGATCACTGACATTTATTATATGTAGCAAGTTACCATATCGTTGACTTCCAAAACTTGTACTACTTCACACGGCTTAGCAAGTCTTGTATTATTTGAAATTCTGGTGACAAGAGTAGATTAAGGGTAAACCTCAATAATAGACCTCAACCCTAGATTAGGAATAATCTTGTAGTCACTAAAACCAGCATTGGAGAAGAGTTTTGCCCAATCCTGTTGAGTTCTTTCCTTTCCGGAAGTGTGACCCATCATTAGCATGTCCCAGAAAAGTTGGGTTTCATATGTTTTTTGGTCTCCTTTCTGATTATCCAACACCATGTCAATAATGAACTTTCCTCCATTCTCCTTACTTGGAATTGCTTCTTTACATTTCTTCAATATTTGGATACATTCTTCATCGCTCCAATCATGTAATATCCAATGCTCAAATTTAAAAAGCATGATTATATATTAACAATATACATGCAGTACAAGACAACTAATCAAGAAGATTAAAATTAAAAGAGATGGAAGTAATTAATGTTACAGTGCCTGCTTAATCATGAAGCAACTAAAGCTGTTGCTTTAGGCCGCAAAATTTTGGAATCCCATTTTCTAAAAATAATAGGCATTTTTTTAAAAAAAAATATTGAGTATTATTGAGAATAAAATTAAAATTTTCATATATATAAGGAAAGCCACATTTTAGCTATGTGAAAAAGTGATCACTTGGCTTAAAAATAGGAAAATACAACAACAACAACATGCCTAGTATTCTCCCATACCGTGAGGTCTGGGAGGGTAGCGTATACGCAGACCTTACCCTATATTGTGGGGATAGAGAGGTTGTTTCCAATAGACCCTCGGCTCAGGAATACATAAAAAAAATTAGGAAAGTACAATAACTTATAAATCACTTACATACTAATGAGGAATGGATTTGGTAAGGAAAATTATTATTCCACTTTTACTTTTTTTAAGTAAGAAATGTGTTAATAATTTACAGTATCTTTCTTAGTTTATGCAAGAGCCACAATCTTTTATTTCACCTTTTCCATCAATTTACATACTTTATCGTTGTTCAACGATATTTCTATTGCTTCTATAAAAACATAGTTAACATTTACTTTCGATACCATATATTGTGTCTTATTTCTGTTCTTTGTCACGTTTAAAGTTTGCGGGAAATATTTGAAGCAGCAATACGAAATTTGGAATTAAGTCTTCAAACTTCTTGAATTGTGTTCTTTCACTCTAAATTTCTAGTATCTTGTTATCTTATTTGTTTTTTTTTTTTTTTACTTCATAGGTATATGTGCTAGAAAATATAAATCTTGTTAACCCCCCCTTCCCCCCCCCTTCCCCCCCCCCCCCCCTCAAATAAAAAAAAAGTAGAGAAGAGTCGAAAATTTAATATAATCTTAAAAATGAGCTCTTGATAATTTTTTGGCGAACAGTAGAAAAATTAAATTAAAAAATATAAGGGAGTATTTTTTAGATGAACATGTCATTAACATAGTTGAGTTAGACGATAATAAAGTCCAACTCAACTATTTAAGTGTCTCTAATTAAAATTTGATTTTAGACCCCAAGTGTTGTTGAGCCGCCTCTGCAATATTATAGTTCGTCTATTTAATTACCTTAAGTAAAATTGCATCGGCAGAAGGAATGGACTTAAACATGTCTCCTCTCACATAGCTCAGGTTCTCGCTCCCTTCATAGCCTTCAATTACATGCGGCAGATCAAACACAATGCAATTTATTTTTGGAAATTTGTCAGCAATAGCTTTAGCTACGGTTCCAGTGCCTCCTCCTACATCCACAATTGATTTCAATCCTTCAAAAACTCCCTTACAATGTTCAATCATTATACTTATAATCAATCGGGCATCGCTAGACATAGCTTCGTTAAATAGACGGTTAAGCCGGCGTTCCTTCTCGGCACATTCAAAGAGCGGCTTGCCATTAAAGGTTGCAAATGGAGTAGAGTCACCATTCTTAAACCATTGGCTAAGACTGTGAAACGGATCCATTAAAATTGGATCGAGTTGTGCTTGCAGAAAAGGTATCATGTTCATAGGCTCATCTTTGAGGAGGAGATACGAAGACGAAGAGAGCAAATAGCACTCTTCGTTTTCATTATTAACCTTGGCTTGAATAAAGAAACCTGCATGAGTTAAAATACGCATGAGACGGTAAACATAATCTTGGCCTTTAGCCTTGTTGATTGGGAGGGCATTCACCAATTCGGAGAGGGTCATGGCTCGGCCATGACTGTGGATGATATCTGGAATTCCAAGTTGAATTGCACATTTTAGTGACATGGAGTTGATGTAGTTGAATGTATGGTTCCATATGTGTGCCTGAGCAGCAAGTACTTCTCCAGCTTTGTCTCCAATGTCAATAAACATTAAAGCAATATTTGTGAGATTTTTCTTTGAGATGCTTAGGATTGTGATATAATGCGATCGAGGTATATATATATATATATATATATATATATATATATATATGAAGAATGAGGTCTATATTTATAGGAAGAATGAGGGGACTCACCATAAACTGATCTTGTGGTCATAAATATGACATGTAGGATATTGGAGTTAAAGAGTACTAAATACCGAAAGAATCATTCTTTCTAAAATATACTAAAAACTTAAGGTACTCCCTCCGTTTTAATTTATATATCTCACTTTCTTTTTAGTATATTTTAGAAAGAATGATTCTTTCGGTATTTAGTACTCTTTAACTCCAATATCCACATGTCATATTTATGACCACAAGATTTCAGAATATTTTGCTACATGATACACATTTTTATTTTAAGTCCAAAAAATTTAAAAATCTTATTTACTTTTTTTAAATTCCGTGCCAAATAAAATTAAGATACATAACTTGAAACAATTAGATCATAGAAGGCTGTTATCCTGTAAAAAGCTTAGATGAAACATATTTTAGGTCTTCAAAAGTTAGTACTACTAACAAGTGTGACTTGGTATTTTAGGTCTTAGTAAAATACTACTCTTTACCATTATCTCAAATCTATATAGATTATCGGTACATAAAAATAAGCAGCGGTATTAATTATGAGAGAACACATCCAGGGGATAGAGATAAGTTTAGGCAGTGTTATGAATTTTGAGAGAGCACATCCAGAGGAAAGAGATAAGATTAGGCAGTGGTGTTAAATTACTAGTTACTAGGGGTGGCAAACGGGCAGGGCGGGGCGGATATGAGCGGGTCAAACGGGTAATTTAAAAAACGGATAAATTATCTGACCCGACTCGTTATACTTGGCTTATAAACTATGATCACTTATGAGAGAATTCCTAGTCTTCCAGACTTGAGGAACTCCAATTTGAGGCTTTATGAATGTAAGAGTTAAACACATTAGTTATCCATTTATTATTCATTTGGTTAACCATTTTCTAAGTGGATAATATGGTTCTTTATCCATGCTCAACACATTTTTAAATGGTTCATTATCCAACCCATTTTTTTATGGATAATATGGGTGGATAACTGTTTTCTTTTAGCCATTTTGCCACCTCTACTAATTCCTATAGAAAGCAAGCCAAGAGCAATTTGAATTTGTAATCGTCCAGATTTATCTTTCACAAGAAAAATAAGGGGACTAACTATTTAGGATTATTAACCCGAAATGGAAAAATGAAGATACTTTTCTAAAATTTTCAAGGTACTATTCATAATAAGTTATTTTTTTGCCGTTTTATTTTGGTAAAAAATAAGTGTCCTTTTACATTATCAAAAAGACATTAACTTTATTTTTTCAAAAATTTTCCTTATTTACATATTCCAAAGTTCCAAGTTAACAATATGCAAATTTTAACTAAGGGTAATTTAGTAAAAAATACCTTTGTTTCTCTGGGGTCAGTAATTTCTTAAGAAATGTGCATCATTGTTACGACCCGGCTGGTCGTTTTGAGTATTTTAGCCCCGAGCCCACTATTTATTCCCTCCTCTATGTTATATTGTGGTTTTGTGACTTGACGGGGTGTTTGATTTTGATTTCGGGTGAGTTTCGGGGTGAAATGGGACACATAGTCCCTAAGTTGGAGATTTAAGTTGAAATAGTAGACCGTAGTTTGACTTTTGTGTAGACGGCTCCAGAATGGAGTTTTGACGGTTCTAATAGCTCCGCATGGTGATTTTAGACATAGGATCGTGTCCGGATGCTGATTTGGAGGTCCGTAGAACTTAAGGTTCGGAGGATTGGAAAGTTTGAAGTTGACTTTATTAATATTGGGGGTCGTATTTCACTTTCGAAAGTTGGAATAGGTCCGTCATGTTATTTATGACTTGTGTGCAAAATTTGAAGTCAATCGGAGTTGTTTTGGTATGAATCGACATTAGTTTTAAGCTTCGGAAGTTCATAAGTTCATTAGGCTTGAATCGATGCACGATTCGTGGTTCTAGTGTTGTTTGATGTGATTTGACGCTTCGAACGTGTTCGTATGATGTTTCAGGACTATTTGGTATGCTTGGTTGAGGTCCCTGTGGCCTCGGGTGTAATTCGACTCTCTACTAATAGCAGGGCTAGTAGGAGGTACCTAGGTCTGCACACAAAATATGTGCATAAGAGTAGCATGAATACACCACAACGGTATTCAATATGTGCCAAGCCTAACCTTGGTAGAGTAGTGACGAGGTCAGGTCAGGGCCCTACTGGGATTTAATTAATAAAGCAGAAGATATAGCAATATAATAAAGACTGAGAATTTAACAATAAGGAATACGGAAGCGGAAACTTCACATCAAATAAGGGGTAAACAGCAGGGGCACTACCGAGGTACCGCTTCATAGTCCCAAAAGTAAATACTCAACAGGGGATCTCCCGAGGTACTGCCTCGTAGTCCCAAAAGTAAATATGCAATAGGGGATCTCCCAAGGTACCGCCTCGTAGTCCCAAAAATAAATATGTAATAGGAGATCTCCCGAGGTACCGCCTCATAGTCCCAAAAGTAAATATGCAATAGGGATCTCCCGAGGTACCGCCTCGTATTCCCAAAAGTAAACACACAGCTCGAAACTGATGGAAACAACAATTAACAGCAAAAAATCCTACAGTTCAAGACTACAAACCAAGGTAAAATCAGGAATTAAACTAAGCATGCTGCACAGATTTCAAATAAGCATATAAGACACGTAGACTTGCGATATTAGGCTAAACATGATAACTACACAGGCTGGGATAACTCATTTAAGATATAACAGGTTACTGTTTAGTATAAGCCGGATTTTCAATAATTAGCCCGTGTATACACTCATCACCTCGCGTACACGGCATTCACATATTCACAGAATAGTCAGAACATTACTAATTCCTAAGGGATTTCCCCCACACAAGGTTAGGCAAGCCAATTACCTCAAGCAAAGCTCAATAAGTCAATAACGATGCCGTTTCCTCGACTTTCCAATTCCGAATGGCCGAAATCTAGCCAAAAGCAATTGCATACTACAAATATAACTATAAGAAACTAATGTAATTAATGAAATCAAGACTTTAGCTAGAAATTAGAAACTCACCCCAAAAAAGTCAACCCGGGCCCACGTCTCGTAATCGAGTAAAAGTCACTGTCGCGCCCCCTTTTTCTCGCGAAATTGGGTTTATGACATTTGGGAAGACAACTCGTTCCCTTTTGGGAATTGGGTTTAATGGAATGGAAGAGTCGTCACCTAATGATTTAAGTGCATTAGGACACTTTTAGAAGAGCTTGATTTTGGATAACCAGAGATAGGGTAAGGGCTTGAAATTATTCCAAGGGGAAGGTGTTAGGTACCCCTCAGAATCCACTAGGGTCGTTCCCGGCCAAGCTATTGTTGTGACTTAAGGTACAAATAACATATAGACAAGTAGGACTTCAAATAAGAGGGGATTTTTCACATAAAGGTTAGAAATAAACAAAGTCGGAAAGCATTAAAGAGAGTTGATTTAGAAGAAACGTTTTAAAAGATTTTAAAAGAGACAATGAAACAAAGGGAAGGGGTCCTAGGTTTATTAATAATATGGATCACCCCACACAACATCCGGTAATCATTCTTACACGTGATGTTATCGCGTGGTCATCATATCTATATTTACCATTTCCCACCCCGTTAAGGTGTTAAAGCGCGGAATGGTCTCGTTTACTTATTGCATGCTATTACCCGCCCCAGTCCTATCAATCCCGGAGGTACTTGGGACTACTAATCCTAAAGGGAGGGGATGTTTGGCTTATTTGTGGTCTCAAAAGGTAAAATTACTAAGGCGACAAACAAAACACATATAGCAAGTTTGGGGAAGCATATAAACAAATAAAAGGCTCAGACAGACCTCCTTAGATCAAAGAAAAGCATATAGTTTAGCATGTCTTGCACGTACTGATTAAGGTCTGATTAAACTTAAAAGGTTGGGGCCGTCTGATTTATCACATATTTCCAGATAAGAAGTCCGAATTAGGCTTGCCTGCTAGTCGTAATTGATAAAGACTGATACAGTTTAAAAACTTTACCCTAAGGCTTGCCTAGGTGTGGGACAAAAGCTCCTATAGACATGATATCTACTGATTTCGGAAAAGAATAAAACAGATTGAATACATACTGATTAAGAGGGGTTACCAGATTATTAAAGAAAAGCCAACTTTAGCAAAAGTTACAGGTTCTGCAAGCATTATTACTGGTTTTAGACTCATAAGCGAGCGGAAACGTTTCAGGCTTGGTTGATAGTTCCTATAGGCATGCTTTCTACGCATTGTTGATTTTAAACACTTTTATAGATATGAAAAAAAATGCAGAAAACCTACAACATGATATCTAGGTGTTACATCTTATTACAAACGTGACATCTGATTATATTCTTGGTTATTAGGACCTATAGACAAGTTTGCCTAGTGAAAAGCGGGTATGCAAGAATCAAAAGGGACCTATAGGCATATTTTCTACATGCGTGTGCAGAAACTATGGACATAATATCTACATGAAAGTGCAGGATCCCTATAGTCATGGCATCTAAATGAGATGCAGATGTTCTTATAGACATGATAGCTAAATGAGATGCAGAAATCTTATAGACATGGTGGCTAAATGAGATGCGGAAATCTTGTAGGTATGGTAACTATGTAAAAAATGCATAAGTCTTATGGGCATGGTAACTACATGAAAAATGCAGGAGTCTTATAGGCATGGTAACTACATGAAAAATGCGGAAATCTTATAGGCATGGTAACTATATGAAAATGCAGAAGTCTTATAGGCATGGTAACTATATGAAAAATGCAAAAATTAGAGATTCCTATAGGCAAGTTATCTACCCATGTACATGCATGGTTACCCCTCCCTTTTCACTAATCATCCCCAAAATTTTATTACAAAGTTATTACAGTCCAAAGAAAATAAAGAAAATACATTAGAAATTGAAAATTACAACCAAGGAGAGC